ATGGTAAACTGAGCCAGATATACAACAAATACATATAGGAATAATATTTTGCTGAATTAATACCTGTTGTAGTCAGGGGTTGTGCACAGAGAACAATTAGGATCAAGACATGGAGTTTATAATATTATTTTTATAATAGTCACTGGCAGTTAACACAGGAAAATACAGAAAATCTATCCACAACACCAAAGACATAGATTATTTAGTCAAGAGCCTAAACCCCACAGTAATGTTCCACATGAGTCCAGATAAAAACCCAGAGCTCAGGACAATGCCTCCCAAGAGTCCAACTGGAGGTCCAGAGCCCGCAAGAAGGACTCACGCCAGTCTCTTTTACGCATCCGTGTGGGGAAAATCCGAGGATCAGCGGTGGAAGCCAGAAAGTCCATGCCAGCAGGATGAAGGAGCTGTGCTAGTGGGGTGAGGGTTCTACGCTGGAGCCGAGAAGTCACACTCACAACAAAGACCAGGGCTATCCTGAGAGGCACCACAGCTGTCCTCAGCGACATGGAGGCCCCGAGATCCTCCTCCGACCAGCACAGTCGGGTACATGCGAGGATGCCAGCCTGACAAGTTCATCCTGGAGACCAAGCTGCACATGTTACATCAGCATCTTCGCCCAATGCCATGCTGATGTAATCCAGCTGGTGTTAAGTTGACCACCAGTTCTTAATCCACAAAAATACCTTCCTCAGTAGCTACACATATACTCACACAAACAATGCTACATACTTTCTCTCAGATCTTAAAAATCATTGTGTTCATTCCTTTGAAAGGTAGCAGTCAGTCCAGGGACTGTGGAAGGAATGTTTGTATCTTGCAGAATCTAACGGCTGAACAAAATAGTACAACCATGCTACTCAATACTTAGGCTCCAGAAAGCTGTTATTTGTCATTTGCCAAAGGATCAACATCCATCCCTATATCTTGAAGTGGATCCAGAAAAGGGAATGAGAATCCATTTCTCACTGGAATATTCTTGAGTACATGGAAAGAGGAATAGAATATTAATATTTATTCATAGGCCATTTCTTGAGAATATATTGAGAAAGCATGTTTTAAGGCCTAGAACTGAGCATACAATATGACAGTGAATAGGAAAAAACACCTGCATTCCCAGAAGGAGGCTAAGAAATACTATAATTTAGGGCAAAGTGTGAGGTATACTCTAAAATAAATTGTGCTCAAGGTGAAGTTCCTAGATAACATTACCTCATATCTGATGGGGTAAATTTGAAACTTGAATTAAGGAGGAATTCCGAATGTACAGAAATAAGCAGAGGTGGGGAGTGAGAAGGAAGGAAATCCTAGTTAGGCAGAAAAGATGAGTTAAGGCGCGTGGATGGAAGTGGACTTACTGAGCTTTGGCCTGACAAAGTGTGACTAAGAGTTGTGAGCGGTGGTGTCAAAGCAGGAGGGGCTTCCACCTATTGCAGAGGCCTGAATGCCAAGTTTCTGAGTTGCTACTTAACAATTCTGCCGGGGGGAATATGAACATGGACTTTGCTATCTGAGTGGGGACAGTCTTGAGGTGAAAAATGGCACTGTGAACAACTGTGTCAGAATAACATTTACCACGTGGTACTCTCCTGGGCAGACCGTAATCTTAGTAAGGCAAAAGTCTTCAAAGAGCTGTACCAGGGAGGAGTGCCAGTGAGTCTCCCCTCCACCAACAGTAGTCACGTGGTATGGGCAGCCTAGGGGTACAGTGTTAGTTTCCTAGGGTGCCACAACAGAGTACTTAAGACAATAGAAATCACTATTGCACAGTTATAGATGCAAGAAGTGTAAAATCAGGATATCCGCAGGGACACACTCAATAAAGGCCCAGGAGAAGCCTCTCCCTTTCTTCTCTCTGGCTTCTGGTGTTGGCAGTGACCTTTCTGCTCCTTGGCTTTCAGACAGGCATCACTCTAATCCATGCCTTGGTGGTGCTCACTCTCTCTCTTTATATAAACTCCCCTCTGGAGTGCCTCTGTGTCTCTTCTCCTCCTATCAAGCACTAATCCTATTGGATTAAGGATCTACCCTACTCTAGTATGATCTCATCTCAACTAACTGAGTATGTAAAGGATGCATATGCAATAGAATCACAATTCGAGGTTCTGGGAAGAACTTGAATCTTTAGTGCACACTATCCAAACTAGTACAAATGAAGTTTGAATGTGTGGCAGACAGTATTTGAACCAGAAAAGTACTGTAGTTGAAACAGAAAAGTAAAGGGAAGAGGTGACAGCAGTGAAGGGTACTGGTTTTTGCTGACTTTGCAGTTGTCTCCAGGTCCCCGAGGCGGTTTTGAACACTGAAGACGTATTTGAAATACTGGCAGTAAATTAGAAAGCTACCCGCAGTAGTTCACTCTGCTTTCTGTGAGTTTTCTAAAGTATAGGCTTCTCTCTTTCCTTGTCTTGGAAGGAGGAAAGAATTTTAATGTTAGAAATCAAACAAGACTAGAAATTGAGAGACATCAACTACAAGTCATGACTTGACTTTTAACTTTGTCACTTTGGGCAGGTCATTTGAAGTCCCAGTCTGCTTCCCCTTCCAAAAATGAGGCAAAAGCTGTACTGTTTATAAACGAGAATGCCAAGGCCATCCAGGCCTCTATAAGCTATTCGATTAGCAAGAAGCTGCAAACTATATTCCTTTGTCCTTGTTAAGAGGAAAGATTTTCATTATGACTTTTGCCACCACCATTTTTTAGAAAGTGTACATATCACATCGTGCTTGTGCTTGAAAAGAGCAGAACTCGACTGTATTGAATAGGTTTTTAAAAGGGGACCTGCACCAGATCAATCTAGTGCATGCAGGAAACCAGATGAGTCTGATCCTTGTCCTTCTCCCATACCTGATCATAATGGCAGCATCACTTGCTCATGAATGAGATCTCTGAGCAAGAGTGATTCTTATAAGGAAGAATCACAAGTATATGTCACAGCTTTACAGGACACAGCGCAAAAGTTTCTCCCACAGGAGTAAGTTGTTGATAAAAAGGTTAGGGTACTGGACAGCTGAGAAGAGGACATGTCTGCGGCCAAGCAGTGCTTGGAATTCAGCCAAGCATGAAGATTTTTTTCATGCATTTAGGCACTGTTATCTCTATACTAAAGTTATACCATACTATTAATATTATTCTCATTACTATTTTAATTTAGGAGTTAAGAACTCATATTTTGAAAAAAAAAAAAAAAAACTCATATTCTGGAGTTCCAGAGTCTTAAGTGTGAATTCCAACTCTCCTGCTCAGTATCAACTGTGAGACTTTGAGAAAATAAATTATGACTTGTATACTAACAGCCTCCATTTCATCTAAAATGTGGTAATGATAATAACCTTATCAAATTGTTAAAGTTATCAAATTATTGTTAAAGTCAAATTATTGTTAAAGTAATTCCCTGTAAACAGCCATAATATTTACAAAAAAAACCTTAATGTGGTACCTGGCGAATACAATATACATCACATAACAATAATAATCATTGTAGACCAGGTCCCAGGTGTCACAACTATTTGACATAGTTACAATTAAAACCTGTACACTACTCTTTTACAAAAGCAGAAACTGAGCTTACAACTGAGAAACTTGTTTCAAATTACAGTTAAAGGAACTGGCAAGTCCCTGATGTGGTCCACTGCTGCCAGACTCAGAAACTAGGGGTCTTGGTCATGCATTTGCAGTCCACCGCTGCGCAGAGCCTACTACTGTCCAGGCACAGGTTCCCCTCCCAGTCTTTCTAAAAGATCAAATAAGGAGACACAGGCAGTTTGCCTGGTGGAATTTAAGAGTGCTTTTGTAATCACTACTTGTTATTACCACTAACTTTTCTAGAAATTGTATTTCACAGTACATTCTGCTATTGCCTGTAAGCAGACAGTTTAAAGCTAGCTGTATTTAATTTAGGGTAACAATAATGGCTGTGTTTTACTAATGAACTAAGTGAAAAAGATGAAGACGATTGGTACACTAATACACAAATGACATAAACTTTGCCCATATCATTCAGTTATAAAAGCTGATTGGATGACACCTGAAGATCCAATTTATGTTATTAGTCCAGATTTTCTAAGATGCACATCACACACTGGAGACTTATAGGAATTAAGATAAATTACTCGAACTATTTAAATGATAGCTCTTCTGAGATATAACTCAGGTAGAAATTCATACCTGAACAACTTTTGAGGGCTTTTTCATGTAGGGTTATTTCTACTTTCAGTTTTCTTTTAAAAAGCCAATACTATTCAAAAAACACAACTTTTAAAGTCCACTGTAATTCTTAAACTAGGTTTTAAGTGGTACTTATCGCTTCCCGTTTAATGCAGTGCTAATATATAATTATTTTTAGTCAGCATCAAAACAAAAAAAAGTATTCCCGTTGATTCTCACAGGGGAGAATCAAAATTTCTGGTACTGCTATACATTAGTTCATGCGACCAATATCTAAAGAAATGAACTATTACCAAAGTGCAAGTTCACCTTACACAATCTTGGAATTCAGCAGCACACACAGTGGTGAAGTATTACTTGCAGAAAACACCAACAATGACTGTAGGGAATAGTAGGTAGCTTGAAGCAGTTAAAAAGTTGGGATTTTCTACAGCGATTTTCATGATACAGGCCGAGCAGGCGTGGGGAAGGCGTCCCGGCTGCAGCTGTTGGTACCCGGGCCGCGATCTCTGCTCCCGGGGTCACAGCATCCAGGTCCCCGCGAGCCGAGCGGGCCCTGGCAGCCGGGGCCGGCCGGGGGCGGAGCCAGTGGCCCGGCAGGCCGCCCGCGAGGAAGGGACAGGGTCGCCGCGCCTCCTGAGGAGGGCGGGCGCTGGGGCCGCCGGCCGGGCTGGACGGACCGGAGAGGGCGGGGAGGGCGGTGACCCCCGGCCGCGGACCCGCCCCCGCCGACCCCGCCCCGCCGCCGACCCGCCCCGGCCGCCGACCCCGCCCCGCCGCCGACCCCGCCCTCGCCTCGCCGTCGCCCCGCCTGCCGGGCCCCAGGGGCGGGGCGGCCCGGGTCTCCGCGGCCTCCGTGCTCGGGCTGAGGCGCCGCGGCCGCGCGCCCTCCCGGGGAGGAGGAGGAGCCGCTGGAGGAGGGCCGAGCGCAGCAGTCGCGCCGGCGCTGGGCGAGGAGCGGAGCCGGCCGCCGGGTGAGCGTCGCGGGTCCGCGGGAAGCCGGGCGGGAGCGAGGGCGGGCGGCGACCCTTCGGCGTCCCTGCGCGGCTCGGCGGCCGTGGCCGCGGGCCTGGGCCTCGGGCGGCGGGGGCCGGGCCGGCGCGGGCTGCAGCCGCGGGTCCGGGTCGGCGCGACGCCCTTCGCCGCTTCGGGGTCCGCGGGCCAGGGCCAGGGCCGGACCGGACCGGGCCGCGGCGGGCTGAGGCCTGTGCGGCCGCGGGCGCCGCTTTCCGACCCTCGGCCTCCGCGGCCGCCGCGCTCCGGGCCGGGCCGCCGCCTTTGTTGCCCGCCGCCCGCCGGCAGAGGCCGGGGCTCGGCGAGGCCTGGGAGGCGGCGGGCCTGCGCGCTCGCACCCACCGCACTGCCCGCCGCCCCGTCTCCCGACCCAACTCGGGTCCCGGCTCGGCGAGGCCCAGGGCCGCGCTCGGGCCCCGGAGGTCGCCTCGGGACGCCGCTTCGCAGTGCCGCCCGGGCTCGGCTGCGGGACGCTGAGGCGCTGTGCTGCCGCTCGGGAGTCCGCCGCTGCGGACGTGGAGAGCCGGGAGCGCCCTGGAAATGAAGTCGCCCGGACCCGAGGCGGGCCTTGGCGTGCAGGCGCTGCCGGAGTTGGCCACTTCAGGTACCCCAGGTGGCTCCTGCTGCGGCAGACGCGTGGAGCTTTCTCCCGGCATGTCCCGGCCCCAAACTTGTTGTGTGTGTAGCAGTGTGTGTGCCAACTTAACGTCTAGTCGGAATCTCAAATTTGGGGTTCCCATCCCCACTTTAGAGAATTAGGGGCCAGTGGAAATTCAGGTTTGGTGGAAGTCAGGTTTCTGGTGGTGAAATAGGTAACGTAGACTTCAGCTCAGCATATGTTTCTGGAAGATGTAAGGACCGAGTACTAATTACAGTAATAACGTGAATTAGGACATGAAACCCCTCTATGCTTTTAAGTTACTGTGTTCCTTCGAATAAAGATACATTTGTAACCAAACGAAAGTAAACTTTTATCTACTTCAAGGTGAAGTGTGAGACATATTCTTCATGGTAGGCAGCAGTTTACGCGTTTTTTTTTTTTTTAAACTCACCAAACACCCACAACGTATAATCCACTTAGCGTACTTAAATGAATGAACTTTAAATGGACTATTTAGTGGTGTGAACAGTCAGTGTTATTTAAAAATGTGAATGGTGTTGTTTACCAGGTTTTGCAATAAAAATCTAGAAAACAGTGTCCTAGTTTACTTCAGTTTTCCTCAGTCCTACCTGGCATGGCTGTGGAAAGGTTCAGGGTCTGCCCTGCTGCAAACAAAATAGGTGGCTGCCACTCTGAACCCCTAAATTCTTGTCTTGGAGGATACTAGGGCTGGGACAGTAGATTTGATAGGATTTATTTCATACCCTTTCATACCCTTAGAGGTGTTCAGGGGCTTTCCATTTCGTGGCCAGGGTGTCAGGCAGGTTATCTGAATCTTTACCTTTTTGTCTTTATTATTTTTAAAAAATAATTTCTAAATTGGAAGCAGGTATCTGGTCTTGCCATTTTCTTTCTTGTGGTGGAAGACTGGTAGGCCTTGAACGCTGCGCCCCTCCCCACCTTCAGTGTGTCGCTGGACTGCCCTCCCTTTTTAGGCCACCTGGAGGGAGTGGCCAGGAAGGAGCTGGGTTCCAGCCACGGTGCTGGGTGTTGTATGGAAAGGGTTTGCTCTACTGACTGGATACCTAGTCATTTTGCCTTCTCATTTTTCTGTAATCTTCGTGTATAACTGAAAAAGAGTCCTCTTTAATAGGTCTCTATTTAGAGAACAGAACGTGTTTTAAGATTGTCTTGTGTAACTTCTTAGCGCAAAACTCTAGTAGTTTTCTCCAGTGTGGCCGTTTTTCAGGAAACGTTGTGTTACTGATAATACCTTTTGTGTTACTGCTCATGGAAGTAGTTGGATGATTTTATTTAAAAGTCATGCTGCAGTCTGAAAAAGGGGAGATGTTATATGTCTCCTTCTGAATTTTTGGAATTGCTGTTAATTCCCTCAAAAATACACATATCATGAGAAACAGGATATACACTCGTGTGTACATATGTTGGACATGTGAAGCCAAATACTGCATGTTATTTATAATCTGCTTTAACTGGTGGATGTGTACTCATCTTGTTTTCATACCCTTTTAAGAGTTAAGTAAATGACCTGTCCTAGAGCTAAGAAGATATTTTTTTCTGCTTCTTGCATCCTTTTATTGGAAGTGAAAATCATATATTTCTCCTCTTCCCTGACCTCTTTCAGTTCTAGAAATGGCACCTCTGTCTGTGATGGCTTGGTATTTTTGTAAAAGTACTCCTTGACAAGGAAGAAATTTCAAATACCAATATGTCATAAAAAAGGAAAATTTATTTTCTTATATGACTAGATTAATCATCCAAGTATTAAAAAGAAGTGTCAGTGCTATGTATTTCCTATTGTATTGATAGTGAAATTATTTTAGTGTTTTTCTGTGTAATTTACCATGTGTGTTGGTTTAGTTACTACATAGTGAAGGCTTTAGGACTTGGTACGGTTTCCTTAAACTAACTTCAGGGTCTCATTGATTATCCACACTGACATTAGATTTTTCGTTACTTAAAGTAGTTGGTTTTAGGTTGCTGTCAGTCTTATTAATGTTTTGGTAGTTATTTAAGATCTTATTTCGCATAGTGTACACAGAAGACATTTGGGAGGTGTGAGAGTATCCTTTTACTAGCCATGTGACCTTAGATAAGTTTTAGCTGTCCTCTGAATCTTGTTGCTCATACAGGGTAAAGAAGGGGACAGTAATCCATCTTACAGAGTTATAGTGAATTCTCTATCTTAAGTAGAATTTCAGTTTTTTCCTAACAAGATCAGCGTCTAGCTTTGCACCTTTTCTTGACAGCTCATCTGCTTCTCCGACTTCAGCATGGTGTTGCATTTGCCTACTGTGTCCTTCACTGGCTCCTGTATGCTTGGTTCATGCTTAGATCTTAATGTCAGTGTCACCACCTAAGAGAAGTCTTCCATGACTATCTTTGGGTCCTTTAATAATCCCAAATGATCAGTGTACATGTTTTCTTCATAACACTTATTATTGTGTGTAATTATGTTTACTTGTGTCTGGTCTGTCTTCTTTCATACAAGTTTTTGAGGACTGGATGCTTGCTGTGGTTAGACTTTACTCTTTGCGACCGCAACATATACAAGTGGAGCTTGGCCATTGAATAGGGATCTGGTACACAAAGAGTACATTTAGCAAAAGGTAAAAAAATACTGTTTATTTCCTAGAAAGCTGTTTTGTGTTATTTATCCCTATCTGGGCTGATCTCCTCAGCTGAATAAATCATAGCATTAGTAAAACCTAAGGCCTTTATTTAAGAACAACTTGGCCCAAAGAGCCTCACGCCGTGGGAACTGCCCCTCTGGAGTAATGATATGTGTTGAGTTGACTCATGGACCTAACTGGCCTGAAATAAAGATGCACAGATCTTAGTCACTTCTGGAAATGTAGTTATTTGTAGTGTGTGAAAAGTAACCATTCCACAGTACGTTTTCTTATACAGCTTAGTAGAGTAAAACCTCAGTTACTGGGCATCTCCTGGTATTCTCAGTTTTCTGACTGAGGAGTCAAGCAAGAAGGAAAACCAGTTTGGAATTTAACACATAGGTGAGCCAGAGGATTTTGATTACAAAAGATGAGATGGGGATTTAGATTGATTTAGATTTGAATTTCAGCAGTTCAGTTTTATAGGGTAGATTTTAAAAGTAAGACATTGTTTTATTTGATTCATGTAAAATAATAGCGGTGTGAAAATTAAGTGAGATATTGCATGTAAATGTTAGTTCAGGTGCATTGCATATAAAAGTGATAATTAGTTTAACATATGATTAATCAGTATGCCCTCAGCCCTCAGCCTTGGGTTTTCTTGTTAGAGAAGCCCAGTGTGGGGAAAGGGTCCAGACCAAAGTGACAAGAAAAATGGAAATAAGAGAAAGAGAATGGGCATATTCAAAGCGTGAGCCATGCTGCTGAGTGCTAGGACAGGGAAGACTGCGTGTGGGCCCTGAGTGAGTGGCCAGGGTCATTGCAGTCTGCTTGAGCTTGAGGGCTTTGTCATTCTTCGGAACCCTGCTCATGTGATTTGTGACTTGATACTGTTTTACCATTTTTCACAGTCATCACCCTAAAATATTTTCTTAGAATTGTTGAAATAGTACCCTCCCTTGGAGACTGTGGAGTGACCATTTTCCCATTTTTCCAGCAGCAGCCTCTTGAGTTGGATAAAGAAAAGAAAAAAAGGATAGGATATCTCTGAACGCCTGGAAGCAAACAGTGCTGTGAACATCAGTAAACCTTAATGATATCACTATGACACCCAGAAATTTTCTAGAAGGTAAATTTAGTTATTTGGAGAACTATCTTTCTGTGTGGGGCAGTTTATAACAGTATGAGATTATATTTAATACACCCAGGTGCTTAAAATATCTCTTACAAGAAGGCAGAAGAATATGTGGCTCCTACTAAACAAGACTTATCAAAAAAATTTTTTTAACAATTGTTAATCTTCAGAAAGTCGAAGAATTCACTAAGAGCCAGTTGTCTGGTGCTGCTTACAATTGTATTTATAGTGATTTTTGTGGTTGACTTTACTCACCCACATCATTAACATGCTGCATTTTTGAGGCAGCAAGGCTAATGTATTTAAAGTAAGATGAATTCTTGTTAGTAGACTTACAGCTTTGTAAGATACTTACCTTGTGTAAATTCTGTTTTGAGGACATTGTTTTTAAAGTTATTAAGAAGAAATAACATTTAGAGAATACCTTGTTGCCAGTTATCACAGACTGGCAGAATGTATGAACAACTACCTAGAATTTTATTAGGATTTTAGTGGTTTTATATGTTTGCAGAGTTGGTACAACTTAGAGCTAAAAGGAGCCTGATAGACTAAGAGTAGTTACATAATCTGCCCAACATCACACATCACACTGTTAGCAGATTTTAGAAAGGGATCCAATATATGTGGTCCTTCCTGCCATTGATGCCAGCTGTGTTAATCCTGGGAGCTGGGCATTTGGACTGTGTCTTTGGGAGAACTTGGCAGTGAAGCTGACTCTTGGAGGGGGCCTGTGCCTGATGGGAGAAGCAGAAGAGACTGTGTAAAACAGAAGAGCCTGTGCCATCATCCTGGTAGTTTTTTTCTCTTTCCTAAGTGGCATTCCTTATTTTTAGTTTCATGGTTTACATGTAAATATACATTTTTTTTTCCCCTACTAACTTTCTGGGAAAGGAGATGGGATACTTCGTTGTTTTGTTTTTACGATTTGCATGTCAGAAAATGTACCAGGTGTTTCATTTCTAAACTGGTTCTGTCTACACATTTAGGTTACTATTTTAGTCAGTGGTTATGCAACAGTGACAGATTAACCTTGATATCTCAGTGTGTTAATAAAAAGGACTATTACTTTTGTGAAATCTGCAGCGGGCTGGGCTCCTCATGGCTTCTTTGTGTGGATAGGGCTGCTGCTTTCATGTGCAGTTCCCCATCCTGTTGCTTCTTTGCAGTTGAAAGAGAGAAGTAGTATGTGATAGCTGACACCTCTTTGGCTAGAACTACTCATAAAAGCCCATAAGGAAGCCAGGAAATGTGGACCACCAGAAGGAGGGGCGCTAAGCTGTGATTGGCTGTCATGATTGGCTGTCATGATCGGAGATAACATTGGTCTTGGAATTTTGTCCACCTCTCAGTGTTACTCTGGAACTTGGTGCTACTTACTTCCCAGGTAATCATATGTCTTTATTTTCTCCTTTCTGGTTTTTTTTTGGATCTTCATATTATTTCCTAAATGGTAAAATTTCAACGTGATGTGCATGATTATTGTTCTTTTCTTAGGCTGTTTTGAGCATTTATTGATCCTTTCAATCTGTAAATGTATTTCCCTATTCTAGGGAAATTTTAAAAATTTTCTTTTTCCTATCTGAAACTCTTCATTGACTATAGGAATTCCGCTGTGGATTTCTTTCTTTCTTTTTTTTTTCAATTTTTCCTGTCAGGCTTTTTGATTGATTAGGTTTCTTCAACTTTCTTATTGAAGTTTTAATTCTGACAATGCATTTTTGTTTTCTTACTGTTCTCCGCATTTAAAAGATAGTGTGACTCTTTTCAAATTTGTGATACTTTTTCTCAGGCTTGCTTTTATTGTCTTTGCTTCAGGAAGGCTTGGATTTTATTCTATTTCAGGATATTTTTGTACTGCTGTGGATCGAATTCAGTGGAAAAGATGCATAGTGCAAGATCAGGGGGGATGTGGAGGTTTGTGTTCTCTCAGCCTGTCCTGCTCTCTCAGTACTTCTCCGTGTTCAGAGGTTCTCTGAATCTAAAGAGGTCCCTCCCTTAATTTTTTTTATTGGTTATGAATTTCACAGATCTATGAATTTCATTTTGGCAAATTTGTACATGCATATAACACTTTGAACGTTTTCACACTTCATTAGCCCAACCCAAATTTCACCTGTGCGTGTATGTATGTACCTTGGTGTATATATTTCGTTCATTTCCATCCCCGTTACTTTCCCAGTTCCTTTCCTCTGGTCTGATTATCATTTCCTTCCCTCATCTTAGTGTCGTCTTTAGATGGTGCACATCAGGGAGATGTGTAGTAATTGTCTTTGAGTCTGGCTCAGCATAATGGTCTCCAGATGCATCCATTTTCCTACAAATTTATTTTTCTTTTTGGTTGAATAATATTCCATTGTGTGTACATATGATATTTTAAAAGTCCATTTATTTGTTGATGGGCATCTAGGTTTTTTTCCATACCTTGTTTGTTGTTAATTGTTCTGTAATACCTGTGAGTGTGCATATTGTTATATTATGCTGAATTTAATTGCTTTGGTTATATTACATGAGTAGGAGAGCTGGATCAGATTGTGCCTCTCCTAGTTTTAGTTTTGTGAGAAACTTTTATACTGATTTCTCTAGAGGCTTGCTAATTTCCATTTATACTCCCACCAGTAGTAGTTTAGGACTGTGGGGAGGGCTTACTCCTCCTAATCCACCTTCCAGCATTTATTGTTTTTTTTTTATACTCTTGATGATAGCCATTCTGACTAGGGTGAAATGGAAGATTAGTTTAGTTTTTATTTCTTTAATTGTTAAGGATGTTGAACACTTTTTCATACATTTATTGGCCATTTATACTACTTTTGAGAAATGTCTGCTCAATTGGTTTGCCTGTTTATCTAGTGGGCTATTTTATTTTTTGGTTTTTTTTATTCTTTATGTATTCTAGATATTAAACCTTTGTCAGAGTAGTAATTGGCAAAGATTTTCTACAGTTCTGTAGGCTGTCTCTTCACTCTGTTAAAAAATATGTATTATTAAACTGTTAAACTTGTGCAGAAACTTTTGAGTTTGATGTAGCCCGTTTGTTGGTTCTTGCTATTATTTCCCATGCTGTTGGAATTCTAGTCAAGGAAATCTTTTTTTTTTGTACTAGGAATTGAACTCAAGACCTTGTGCTTGCCAGGCAGGCACTGTGCTGCTGAGCTGTATCCCAGACCCAAAATCAACTTTGTTTTTTTTTTGATATCAGGAATTGAACTCATGACCTTGCAATTGCCAGGCAAGCGCTGTGCTGCTGAGCTAAACCCTGGCTAGCCAAGAAAATCTTTGCTGGTGACTGTGGCTTCAGTTGTTTCTCCTATAGGGAGTGTTTGTGTGTGTGATTGTTTGTCTGTCTGTGTCAGAGTGTGTGTCAGAGTTTTAGTGTGTGTCAGAGTTTTAGATCTTATATTCAGACCTTTGCCCGACTTTGAGTTGATTTTTGTATACAGTGAGAGATAAGGGATCTGGTTTTGTATACATTGAGAGATTGGTATATCCAGTTTTCCCAATACCATTTCCTAAACAGGCTTTTTTTCCAGCGTTGTTTTTTTGGCTTCTTTATCAAGAATCAGATGGCTATACTTATATTTCTCTGTTCTGTGTTCTGTTCTGTTGGTCTCCTTGTGTGTCCATTTTTGCATAGTATATTGCTGGTTTTGTTACTATGGGTTTGCAGTATGATTCAAAGTTAGGTATTGGAATGTCTCCACTCCTGCTCTGTTTGCTTAGGATTGCTTTGATTCTTGGTCTTTTCTTTGTCCATATTAATTTTATGAGCATTTTTTGAGTTCTGTAATGAGTTATTGGTGTTTTGGTGGGGATTGCATTGAATCTGTGATCAATTTTGGTAGTACTACTATTTAAGCAGTATTAATTCTGCCAGTCAGTGAACATGGGTGAGTCTGTCTTCTGTTGTCTTTTTCAATTTTTCTTCAGTGTTAGTGGAATTTTCATTGTAGAGGTCTTTTGCCTCATTGATGCCTAGGTATCTAAGGCTATTGTGAATGAAAGGGGTTTGTACAGCTCTCAGTCTCTTTTCCACTGTTGTAGAAGGTCAGAGCAGGAAGTTCCCTCCCTGCAATCGCTTGGTGTTTGGTGAACAGCCCCATCCAAAGGCTGAGAACCCCACTCTAAACCCTTACATTTGTATAAACTTATATGTGATTAGAAGAGGCCTGGTAGTAAATAGAGATGCCTATATCACTTATGAAATTCTAAGGGTTTAGGATATATGTGAAAAGGAAATTAAGGGTAAAGACCAAATATTTCTGCATGGGCCATGTTTCCAAGATTTAAGTGCTTAGACCTCAGTGTGTGTGTGTATAGGAAGGGGTGTGTGGTGCTGCTTTTTAAGGACAGTATATTAAAATTAAAATTTGTCTGAAAAATTTAAGGAGAGCTGACTTTTTTTTTTTTGGTGGTGGTACCAGGGATCAAACTCATGACCTCATGCTTGCCAGGTAGGCGCCTGCGCCATTGAGCTAAATCCCCTGCAAATAATTCTTTTCTTCTTTAATAAATTCTATTTATTTATTTATTTTTTGAGATAGGGTCTATAATTCAGGTGGGCCTTGACTTATGGCAATCCTCATGCCTTAGCCTCTGAGTACTGAGATTACAGGTGTGTATTGCCATAGGCGGCATAATCCTTTTTTGCCTTCCATAATCAATATTAGAAGTCAACTCCATTAACTTTTATTTAGTGATGACGTTATGAACTTACTTTGTTGTCAATTGAGCAGGAATTGTACATAATTTTAATAAAGAATTCTTGGAAATGTTCATGTAAAAACTTTTTCTGGGTTAAACATATAAGTTTCTGTGCATTTTTAAAAATTACGTTCATTGAATCATTCATTTAGAACTAGAGATGCTTTAGAGATTAATCTTATTTTATATGTGAAGTTCGAGGAGATTCAGTGATTCTGTGCAAACTTAGTTTCATGTCCATAACCTACAAAGTACAAGTTCCTCACTTGAAAATTAGAACTTTTGCTGTGATTATACATTTTTGATTTATTCAATTTTTGTTGTCACTGTTGGATCCACACAGACATTTCATACTTCTTTTTAAAATGAAGCTTATCATTGTGCGATCTGTGGGCCCTGATAGAAATCAGAGCAGTTTTGTGTTTATCATGCTTTAATTATTTTATTTCCACCAACTTGAGAAGAACTGTAAATGGTCTCTTATTTTCACCTTCATCAAGGCTAAGAAATTAAACCTCCTTCGGTTTCGTGGGTGCTGACAGAAGACTTGAGACTCCAGAGTCAGACACAAAGGGCCTTATTTGTCCAGGAGGTATCTGTTCCGGTTCTTTGAGCACCAGTGATAGTCAGAGAGAAGACTAATGCTGAAGTAAAAGGAGACAGCTAGGAAACTAGCAGGCTGTTGGCAGTAATGCAGGTGAGAGAGGATGGTAGCTTGGATGTAGGATAATGGTTAGAGGTGATTGTCTTGTGCTTATATTTTGAAGGTAGCTGAGTTTGGGATTTTGTGACATAAGAAAGGGGACAAGGATGATTCTAAATGTTCTGATCTAAGCAGTCAGAAGAGTAAAGCTGCCGTAAATAGAAGAGGGAGATCCTATACATAGAGCAAGTTTGGAGGAGAGGTAGAAAAAACCGACAATTCTACCATTGAACCACCATTGTGTGAGAATTTACTGTTGAACATGTTAAGTTTCACTCTCTAGGTTACACCTGGAAGTGTCTAAAAAGAATATGAATATAATTTGCCTTGAATGAAGAGAAAGAAAGCTGGGGATAGAAGGCACATGCATGCTATTTGGCACCAGAAAGTGAACTATGAAGGGCTTGAGTGCAGGTGGAGAAGAGCTGACCAAAACCTTGAGTTCTGGTGCTCCATCATTCAGAGGTTGGAGGAGACCAGCAAAGGAGCCTGAGCAGGAATGATCATGAGAGTAAGATGTTCTTGTAGCAAAGATGGAAGATTTTATTAAGAAAAAAAGGAGTGGTCAGAGGTATCAAGTGGAGCATCTAAGAAAAAGACAGAGTTGGAGAAGGCTTTGGTGTGGCTGAGGAGAACGCGAGTGGGAAGGGATTGTGGTGGCGTCTGAATCCACAGGCTTCTCCTTAGAGGGTTTGCTGCCAAGGTAGTTAGACAGGGACCATGGGTGGTGGGGAAACTAAGATAAGTTTGTTTTTACATAACGTTTTTAGGACTGATGCAATGGAGAGCAGTTGGTAGGAGATGAAGTAGTGAGTGAAGTGTGGGCTACCGTCGAAAGGGAGCACGCTGGAAGTGGACGTGGAAACAGGTGAGGTTAAGTGGGTAATTGTGGTGAGCACAAAGGTTTTTTATGGCAGTCCTTCCTTTTCTCAGTGCAGTAGGAAGCTGGGCCATCAGCTGAGATTGAAGATGTGGGAGGAAGC